ATATGGACACCAACTGCTATGTGATGAACTCTTCTGAGCACAAGCACTTTTCATCCACATAAATGAACATACAATGGTCATACCATACGTAGTTAATGAAGAATGGGTACATATGCTTATTTATATTTGTTTGTCTAATTAAGATTTGCATGATCATGTTTTCCAAACAAATGTGAAGTGTAAGACACATTTTTTTAAATATAAAGGATCTCTAAGACCATAAACTGTGATTTATTTTACAATTACATTTTAGACTGAATACATGTTTGTATTTATTTAATGATCCCATGGTTTAATATGTCAGAATCGTTATTTTCCACCCAAGAATACAGGCTTATTCATCTGTGTGTCACACTGTTGAGCAGACCAGGAACTCTCATTTTGTTCCCTTGTGTACTGACATAATTCCCCTTGGCACTGGGTCACATTACATGCTGACACAGGGTGCATTTTTTCAGATAATTTTACTCAGACTGCCACACTGCATTAACCGTTTTACTGTAGAAAACAAGAACTTCAGACTGACTTACCCCGGTGCAGATTTTGAGGCATGAAATTTAAGCTGAATATAAGACCACAAGATGTGTGACAGTGTATTGAAAGATGAGAAGCAGGATGCACATTTCAAACCAAATCTGTCAGTGTTTGTGTTGAGTTATTTCTGTTGTATGAGTCAAAATTGTCTGTGTGTGTGTGTATTAATGCATGTTTGAGGGCATGCGAGTCAGAGTGGGCTGGGTTATCAGAGCAGAGAGACAGAAGGCAGTTTGCAGTGGACAGGAGAGAAATTCACATTCTTCATCTCAACTTTGCCTGTCGCAGTCATCCGCACATTGCTGCGTGTCACTGGCACACTCCTTCTTCTTTCTTTCTTTCTTTGCTTTTCCTCTGATTTTGCTTGATTGTCATTCTTCTTGTTCAAACACCTTATTTTAGTTTCTCTTAGTATCTTCTACCAGAATAATTATTTCTTTAGGTTGCTTTTCTCATACTATCTGTTCATCTTACCATTTTTGCCTGTATCCTTTCATTCTATATCTGGCTTCATTTACATATTTTATTTGCATAACCTAATGCAATTTGGTGGTACCAGATGGAGTCAAAGCATCATGGACCTCGACCTCTAAGACCCACAAGGTAAAAATGTCCTTTTAAATGTCAGTTTTTGTAATTTCCATTGTATTCTTCACCTCTGTTGTTAAACCTAACATCTATCCTTTGTGGTGAATCATTTCCTTTAAATTCTGCTTCATCCATCACCTTTCTGTCTGTTTCCTCCTGTTTCTATTTGCCCGGCTTTTTGTCCTCTTCTGTACCTGTCCATTCAATTCATGTATATCTATCTCCTCAACAGTCTTTCTCAGAGCACCATTTGTATATATCTCTAGTCCCATTTTGACTTTTCTTATTTTATTTAGGGCACACACACTGCTGTTTTTAAGCATTTTAGTTGGTTTAAGCTAGTTGGTAGCTGGTCCAAGCTGATTAACTGGCACAGGATGATGATTAGCTAGCTAGTTCAAGCTGGTAGACCATCTTGGACCATCAACAAACCATCTTGGTCAAACCAGCTTGGTTATGCTTGTTTTTGGAACAAGATTACTGGTCAGTCTGCTAACCTTTACCTTTAATGAACAGCTTGGACCAGCTAGAAACCAGCCACCAGTTTCCGAAACACAACTAGCATCTTAGTTTATTAATAAATATATTTTTCCCCATCAGGGCATGATTAAAAATTTGCCTGCAAATGTCAAGTGCTTTGTAATACTATGCTAAATTAATGTGAAGTGCATTTTATGCCTGACCGTCAAATAGGCTAGCTTGTTTTTAACATGCCTTTTCAAACATAAGTGCTTTTTGAGCCTTTCTCAACATGACTCAAATCATGTTCAAATAATTACCCATCATAATCAAAGTTATATGTGCATTAGCTTGAAAGGGGGAACTCTATGGTGATGAATTAACTTCACTGCCAGTTCAGGATGTGGACTACACAGCTTGATGTAATACAGTGTGAAAGACTGTCTACTGAAGACCAAGCTCTCTATGAAAAGTCACATTTCATTTATAGAGAGGATGATCATAAAGAAGAAAGTCACTTTGGGATACAGCACTTTATCCACTTATTACACCAACACTCTTTCTTATTGCTCCTTCACTGCAGTCCAGCCATGCCTTTCATAGGTTGCCCCCACACAAATGGATGTGGAGGCCCAGGTCGGATGTTGCTACGTGAGATGCTATGGCAGCTGGAGCAAAGAGTACATCAGGTTCAAGAGGAGGAATTTCAGTACTGCATCTCCCGTGGCATTCTGGGATACCGTCACCCCCCAGCATACCCAAGCCTGCTTGCCCTTATACCTGCTTCTGAACGCCGCCAGCTAGAGCGCCTCTGTGGTCGCATCCCACCCTCACACACTGCCATTGTACTTTCCAGGTAAAAAAGGTCTCTCAGTTTTGCCTTGCTTGCTTCACTTTCTACATATTGTTCAAATGTTCTTTAAATCCTATATAAATGCTCTAAAATAGTCTTCGAATGCTCTAAAAAAATCACATATAGAATATAAAAATCTGTCTTCTTTAATGGCTGACATTCACTATTTTAAAAATAAAGAATGAACATTCTATCATATCAGTTTAAAAACATGAGGGTGAGTAATAATGACAGAATTTTTAAATGATAGAACATTCATTTTTAGGTGAATAGCCCTTTAAGTACACGAGAATATGACAGCAGATTTTAGAAGCCAAAAAATTGTGCTGAATTATTTTCTAGTTAGTTCCCTTGTTTTAATTTAGTGAAATCTTATCCAGGATTTAACTAAAAGGAAGGGAAAAAATAATTAGATAAGGGAACAAATTCTTACTCAGTGGCCACAGTATCTTGTTTTATTTCATTTTTTTCCCACGTCATGTGCAGAGCTCTGTATGAAAACATTACTCACTCACAATTATGATGTTAAACTAAATATCAGCACAGCTGTGATTACTGTGCTTGTGTAATATTGCTTTAATATTTTACTAAACATTTTAATGTGCTCCATCAAGGCTTCATGATCTTTTGGCCCACAATGACATTCCTCCCTGGGAACTGGTGGGTGTCTTCAAGCAAGTTCTCAAAGACTTCCTGAGGAGACAGGAAGACGGCATACAGAGACGTCCAGCCCCTTCAGCTCCATCAACAATTCTTTCTGCTCCGAGTCCACCTACAGAGAGTAATGACAGAAATCATATTGTTGGAAATGCATCTAATTCTTTATCAGAGGAGACAGGAAA